ATTTGAATTTGAATTTGAATGTTTCCCAGTGAACAACAGCACGGTTTGGTGGAAATAAATTTGAAGTTTTAAGAGTTAAGTCACATTTTCCTTTGGTTTATTCAGTCACAACACATTTTATTGAAAGCTACATAATTTCACTTTAAAAATATGGAATCATCTCCTCTGTCTTCACTCTTTGCTTCCTTTGGACGTCCTGTGCAGCCTCTGGGTGCAGGTATCGCCTCATGCACCAGTAAACACAGACTCTACTCAAATGCAAAGCTAGTGAAAAAATAGTCAGAAAAGATGACAAATAATAATTTCATGTGTGATTTGTAGCCTAGTGTAGCAAGTGTATAATTCAATTCTATTCTACTTAGATATGTGGAATTTTAACCTGCAAAGCTTCGCTACCATCGGCTCCACATCAATGTATCGATGGACTTCCTGTAACACGCCTCCTGCAGCTCATCCTCAAAGACCTACTCCACGACCTGGGGAATCTCTTTGTGTATGTGAGGGCTGATAACAGCACTAAGATCGCCCCCACTCGCCTAACAACGCCGTCTCTCCATACAACTGGAAAGCTGGATTGGCACCAGCCTTTCTTCCAGCACCATAAAAGGTGCAAATAGATTTAACTTTGTTTGACCAGGAAAGTGTTGAGATTTAAAATGTCTTTTATGAGCATGTCCTGACCAAGAAACAGCTGCTAAATCAGCAGCCTGACACAACAGCATACAAACGAATACAAAAAGCAAAATACACGGAAAAGACGGGAGCACGAAGGACGAAACGGAGCATCTAACCTGAGCATGCAGTGTGCTGTGGTCAGTACCTGACTGACAGAAACAGTGAAAGAGCCGTCCTTACATACAAAGCTATAACACATTTCCATAATCAAGCGCAGACCAAATGTCACTGCCGGTGCATTCACTTCCAAATAAAACGTCTGCTGCAGCTGCAAATAAACGAGGAATAAAGCGTGGAAGAGGCTTTTGATAGTGCTGACTTTGGGCATTTGGCTGCTTTCACTGCTGAAGTTTGGCTGCTATAGAGAAAATAAAAGGAGGGAGGAGAAGTCGATGTCTGGCAGACACTGGAAATTGCTCCCCCCCCCCCACCAGTCTTTCAAATCAGCCTCAGCAACAAGAGTAAAAGTGCCAAACAAGTAGCACGAAGGGAGAGTCCACGGAGGCCTGGTCACCCTTTCTGTGCGTCATAGCAGTAATAACGAGGCTTTTCATTGTTTTCTCTTCTTGGTGCCTCTTCGTGAATCATTTCAGTCAATTTAACTCAAGCAACTGGGGCACAAACTATTTTTATAGTTGCATTTAAAATGTAATCAGAGAGAATCTGGAGTGAATTCACACGTAAGACGTGTTTGCTAAATGTTGAATTTGCAGAACGAACGCTTCAAAACTTTTTTTTCTCTAAACATCAACATCACCTGTAATGACTTTATTTAAAATCTAACAATCTGCTCTCACTGACAAGTTGCACATTTTGCAACACAGAAAGCTGACTGGTGTGTATCGTGACGGGGCCTTACCCTGCATCCCTGTGGGGCCGAAGCCTTGGCGAGTGAGGAAAATTGCGTGGTCGTGGTGCTCAGCGTGATCGGGATCACCTTTCTGCTGCACGAAGGCCCAGCGGCACACGTTCTCCAGGCTCCGCGATGGGTTGCCTCTCTCAATGAGGCTGATGGACTGACAGGAAAAAGGAGAGAGAAATGCAGATGCAAATGAACATGTTAGTACTCGGGCAGCAGCCTGTAATTACTCAGACTGTAAAGCAGCCCTGGGCTGAAAACGAGAGCGAGCTGAAGGAGTCGTGGCGAACATAAATCATAAGTGCCACTGCTGATTACAGCGAGCAAATGGAAATGTGCGTTTTGACGCTGTGTGTAAAAGTGAGTTAGACTAGGTGACCTCTGCAGTCTGCACACATTTTCATCTCTATTTCACTTCTCTAACATAAAAGGGAATGTCACCTGCAAAAAGAAGTTTAAGAATTTAAAAAAGCAACGGAAAAGGACTCGGGGACTCACCTTGGCGTACCCCAGCATAATCATCCTGACCAGGACCACGTTGATGTGGACTCCCAGAGACTCGTCATGGTAAATCTCATTCACCTGAGGTGCAGGGGGACAAACAACACTTTTAAGGAATCGGAAATCTGAAATTGAAGGTAAATCTCAGTTTTAAATCCGACTGATTAGAGTAGAAGAGAGATTATGACTAGATATGGAAATGTGCTTATGCATGTTGTCTGTATTTAGACAGATAAAAACTCAACTCTTCATGCGAATGATTTCCTGTAAAGAGCTCCGGAGAAACCAAGCACTGAGCATGTGACAGTCGTTTAACATTCAACCCGCCTGGTTTCCTGCAGCCTCGGAAGTAATGTAAAGAGAAGCGAATGAGTCAGTGAAGCAGGCTGCTGAAGGACTCTCCACAGGCAGCCTGACTAATGTTTTCTATCGATTTGAATCTGAATGAAACAGTGAAGTGAGACTTGTGCACACAATCTGTAGCTTTCTATTTTAGCAGTCAACACCATTATCATCTGCAGACATGCGTGTTTATTCAGACAAAGGCATCGCATCTCCTCCGTATCTGCAGGTGTCTGAGATATCAACAATGCACAAATACATTTCCTGTTTAAATTATATCCATGTTCACTTATCCTCATGAGGCGTGAATAGCAAAAACTGTTACGTTTTATAATATTAATGCATGAAGACTTTGCAGGACTGCTTGATAGCTGCAGAGCTACAGTTAGCAGAGGACAAGTCATTATAGTCCTGTCTCACTTATGCATACATATTATGCAATTAATTTAATGCTGAATATATGACATGATGCCATGCGTGACACAAATTACCAGTTTCGATTGACTTTGGGGGCCGTATGCATGTACTGATGCTTTGCAGGAGGATTTTGATGTTCTGACATCAATTAAGGC